AAAAAAACACTTTGATAAAAAAAAAACAAACAAAAAAAAAACAAAACAATATATACCCCATTTTTTTGGTAAAATATGAAAGAGGATGTTACGGCGAGTAAATAGGTACCCAACATGTCACGCTTTAAAATTGCGCGCGCTCATGGAATGGCGTACTTAAAAATTTCCATGGGTGATGCTTTAAAAATTTCTACAGGTTATTAGTGTAAAGTTAATGAGGAGGTCTAGTGCGAGAATTATTGCTCTTGCGTTCATGGCGATACCTCGTGTGTGTTGTTTGAACACCGTTTACATATGTGGGCGTGGCCTACGTATGCGTTCACACAGAGGGGGGACAGGGGCACTTTAAACTTTTTATTTCTTTTTTTGCACTGTCCCTTTAAAAAAAATTGTAATCACTTTTATTCTTATCACAAGAAATGAATGCATCCCCTGTGATAGAAATAATTAGTGACAGGTCCTCTTTATGGAGAGATATGGAGCCAATAAGACCCCACATCTCTCTGCAATGTAAAGCATTGGATCAAAAAAAGCATTGATCTAGTGCTTTAAAAGAAAAAAAAAAAAAATGGCCGGAATAGGAAGTGACATCGCTCTGGTCCTCCAAGGGCATAGAAATGAGTGGAGGCCATCTTTCCTTCGCTGATTTCTATGCCCAGCGCCGGGATCGTTCGATGGTTTCTCAGGTATGCTGGGAACTAGTGAGGGGCGGGGTTTTTTTCAGCACCTGTATCTGTGCTTTTTTTCATATCGGCCGACGGCTGAAAGGGGTGTTTTTGGCTGAAATGTTTCGGCCGTCGAAATTTCGGTGCATCCCTACAATCATGTCCCAATCGGGATCAACTGTACTTTGGTAATGCTTTAAAAAGAGGTTCTCCATCTACCCCGCCAGTGTCAGCATTGTTATGGGGCAGGGATTGCTGCTCCCCACTATACCAGCTTCATTATCAATGTATTCAGTTCCACGTTTTCTCTATACACCAATCAGCCATGACATTGAATATCTTGTTGCAATGGCATCTGAAAGTAGGTGGGAAATATTAGGCAACACGTGAACACGTTGTCCTGCTGAAAGCAGGAAAAATGGGCAAGTGTAAGGATTTGACTGAATTTGACAAAATAATGGCTAGACGATTGGGTCGGAGCAACTCCCAAACTGCAGCTCTTGTGGGATGTTTCCAGTCTGCAGTGGTCAGGACCGACCAAAAGTGGTCCAAGGAAGAAAAACCTGCGACAGGGTCCTGGGTGGCCAAGGCTCACCGGCGGAGGTGGGGAGGGAAGGCTCACCGGCGGAGGTGGGGAGGGAAGGCTCACCGGCGGAGGTGGGGAGGGAAGGCTCACCGGCGGAGGTGGGGAGGGAAGGCTCACCGGCGGAGGTGGGGAGGGAAGGCTCATTGACGGTGGTGGGGAGGGAAGGCTCATTGACGGTGGTGGGGAGGGAAGGCTCATTGACGGTGGTGGGGAGGGAAGGCTCATTGATGGAGGTGGGGAGGGAAGGCTGGCCCGTGTAGTCTAATCCAAAAGAATGCCTACTGGAGCACAAATTGCTAAAAGAGTGAATGCTGGTTCTGATAGAAAAGGTGTCAGAACACACAGAGCATTGCAGTTTGTTGTGTATGGGGCTGTGTAGCCGCAGAGCGGTCAGGGTGCCCATGCTGACCCGTGTCCACAGCCCAAGATGCCTACAATGGGCACATGAGCACCAGAACTGGACCATGGAGCAATGGAAGAAGGTGGCCTGATCTGATGAATTCAACAATGGTTTGAGGGTTCCAGCATCTGTGGGATGTGCTGGAAAAACAAGTCTGATCCATGGAGGCCCCACCTCACAACTCACAGGACTTAAAGGATCTGCTACTGACAGCTCAGTGCTGACACCACAGCGTACCATCACAGGTCTAGTGGAGTCCATGCCGTGACAGTTTGTGGTGGGTGGTCATAATGTTCTGGCTAATCGTTGTATATACACATTGTGTATCATGGAGCTGATAATTGATTTTTAGTGACTTTTAACAACGGCCATATCCACTGTCTACACCTTACAAGTGCACTTGAATTATTGCTGCTTTGGTGCATGGGGGGTCTTTATACTTACATTCCATTGCAATATGGCCCTGGGGATTATGGCGCAGGGCCCAATAACCTGATTCCCATTGATGATGAAGCCTTGTCGGCTGTAACTCTCCACAAACATTATATCTGGGGAGTCCCTTTCCAGATGGGTCACGGTTGTCTTCTCATACAGCTCATCGCCAGTCGGGGAGAGGCGGTGGGACCTCTGCTGCTGCCTGTAACAAGGATATGATACAAGATGTCTGAATCTCAGGGAGGGCTGGTGTTGGGGTTACGGGGAGGGCTGGTTTTGGGGTTACGGGGAGGGATGGTGTTGGGGTTACGGGGAGGGATGGTGTGGGGTTACGGGGAGGGATGGTGTTGGGGTTACGGGGAGGGATGGTGTTGGGGTAATGGGGGGGGGGGGGGCTGGTGCTGAGGTTACGGGGAGGGATGGTGTTGGGGTCACGGGGAGGGATGGTGCTGGGGTCACGGGGAGGGATGGTGCTGGGGTCACGGGGAGGGGTTGGTGTTAGGAGATCGGGAGGGGGGGTTGGTGTTAGGAGATCGGGAGGGGGGGTTGGTGTTAGGAGAACAGGGGGGGGGGGGGGGGGGGGGGTTGGTGTTAGGAGAACGGGGGGGGGGGGGGGGGTTGGTGTTAGGAGAACGGGGGGGGGGGGGGGGGGGTTGGTGTTAGGAGAACGGGAGGGTTGGGGGGGGGGGGGGGGGGGGGGGGGTTGGTGTTAGGAGAACGGGAGGGGGGGGTTGGTGTTAGGAGAACGGGAGGGGGGGGTTGGTGTTAGGAGAACGGGAGGGGGGGGGTTGGTGTTAGGAGAACGGGAGGGGGGGGGGTTGGTGTTAGGAGAACGGGAGGGGGGGGGGGTTGGTGTTAGGAGAACGGGAGGGGGGGAGGGGGGGGGGTTGGTGTTAGGAGAACGGGAGGGGGGGGGGTTGGTGTTAGGAGAACGGGAGGGGGGGGGGTTGGTGTTAGGAGAACGGGAGGGGGGGGGGTTGGTTGTTAGGTTAGGAGAACGGGAGGGGGGGGGGTTGGTGTTAGGAGAACGGGAGGGGGGGGGGGTTGGTGTTAGGAGGGGGGGGGGGGGGGGGTTGGGTTAGGAGAACGGGGGGGGGGGGGGGTTGGTGTTAGGAGAACGGGGGGAACGGGAGGGGGGGGGGTTGGTGTTAGGAGAACGGGAGGGGGGGGGGGGTTGGTGTTAGGAGAACGGGAGGGGGGGGGGTTGGTGTTAGGAGAACGGGAGGGGGGGGGGGGGTTGGTGTTAGGAGAACGGGGAACGGGGGGGGGGGTTGGTGTTAGGAGAACGGGAGGGGGGGGTTGGTGTTAGGAGAACGGGGGGAGGGGGGGGTTGGTGTTAGGAGAACGGGAGGGGGGGGGGGTTGGTGTGTTAGGAGAACGGGGGGGGGGGGTTGGTGTTAGGAGAACGGGAGTGGGGGGGGGGGGGGTTGGTGTTAGGAGAACGGGGGGGGGGGGGGGGTTGGTGTTAGGAACGGGAGGGGGGGGGGGGTTGGTGTTAGGAGAACGGGAGGGGGGGGGGGGGGTTGGTGTTAGGAGAACGGGGGAGGGGGGGGTTGGTGTTAGGAGAACGGGGGGTGGGGGGGGGGGGGTTGGTGTTAGGAGAACGGGAGGGGGGGGGGGTTGGTGTTAGGAGAACGGGAGTGTGGGGGGGGGGGGGGGTTGGTGTTAGGAGAACGGGGGAGGGGGGGGGGGTTGGTGTTAGGAGAACGGGTTGGGGGGGGGGGGGGGGTTGGTGTTAGGAGAACGGGGGGGGGGGGTTGGTGTTAGGAGAACGGGGGGGGGGGGGTTGGTGTTAGGAGAACGGGAGGGGGGGGGGGGTTGGTGTTAGGAGAACGGGAGGGGGGGGGGGGGTTGGTGTTTGTTGGTGTTAGGAGAACGGGGGAGGGGGGGGGGGGTTGGTGTTAGGAGGGGGGGGGGGGGGGGTTGGTGTTAGGAGAACGGGAGGGGGGGGGGGGGGTTGGTGTTAGGAGAACGGGAGGGGGGGGGGGGGGGGTTGGTGTTAGGAGAACGGGAGGGGGGGGGGGGTTGGTGTTAGGAGAACGGGGAGGGGGGGGGGGGTTGGTGTTAGGAGAACGGGGGGGGGGGGGGGGGGTTGGTGTTAGGAGAACGGGAGGGGGGGGGGGGGTTGGTGTTAGGAGAACGGGGGGGGGGGGGGTTGGTGTTAGGAGAACGGGAGGGGGGGGGGGGGGTTGGTGTTAGGAGAACGGGAGGGGGGGGGGGGGGTTGGTGTTAGGAGAACGGGGGGGGGGGGGGTTGGTGTTAGGAGGGGGGGGGGGGGGGTTGGTGTTAGGAGAACGGGAGGGGGGGGGGGTTGGTGTTAGGAGAACGGGAGGGGGGGGGGGTTGGTGTTAGGAGAACGGGGGGGGGGGGGTTGGTGTTAGGAGAACGGGAGGGGGGGGGGGGTTGGTGTTAGGAGAACGGGAGGGGGGGGGGAGGGGGGGGGGGTTGGTGTTAGGAGAACGGGAGGGGGGGGGGGTTGGTGTTAGGAGGGGGGGGGGGGTTGGTGTTAGGAGAACGGGAGGGGGGGGTTGGTGTTAGGAGAACGGGGGGGGGGGTTGGTGTTAGGAGAACGGGAGGGGGGGGTTGGTGTTAGGAGAACGGGAGGGGGGGGGTTGGTTGTTAGGAGAACGGGAGGGGGGGGGTTGGTGTTAGGAGAACGGGAGGGGGGGGTTGGTGTTAGGAGAACGGGGGAGGGGGGGGTTGGTGTTAGGAGAACGGGAGGGGGGGGTTGGTGTTAGGAGAACGGGAGGGGGGGGTTGGTGTTAGGAGAACGGGAGGGGGGGGTTGGTGTTAGGAGAACGGGAGAGTGGGGGGGGGGGGTTGGTGTTAGGAGAACGGGAGGGGGGGGTTGGTGTTAGGGGAACGGGAGGGGGGGGTTGGTGTTAGGAGAACGGGAGGGGGGGGTTGGTGTTAGGAGAACGGGAGGGGGGGGTTGGTGTTAGGAGAACGGGGGGGGGGTTGGTGTTAGGAGAACGGGAGGGGGGGGTGGTGTGTTAGGAGAACGGGAGGGGGGGGTTGGTGTTAGGAGAACGGGAGGGGGGGGTTGGTGTTAGGAGAACGGGAGGGGGGGGGGGTAGGAGAACGGGAGGGGGGGGTGTTAGGAGAACGGGAGGGGGGGGTTGGTGTTAGGGAGAACGGGAGGGGGGGGTTGGTGTTAGGAGAACGGGAGGGGGGGGGGTTGGTGTTAGGAGAACGGGAGGGGGGGGGTTGGTGTTAGGAGAACGGGAGAGGAGAACGGGAGGGGGGGGTTGGTGTTAGGAGAACGGGGAGGGGGGGGTTGGTGTTAGGAGAACGGGAGGGGGGGGTTGGTGTTAGGAGAACGGGAGGGGGGGGTTGGTGTTAGGAGAACGGGGGGGGGGGTTGGTGTAGGAGAACGGGAGGAGAACGGGGGGGGGTTGGGTGTTAGGAGAACGGGAGGGGGGGGTTGGTGTCAGGAGAACGACGGGAGGGGGGGTTGGTGTCAGGAGAACGGGAGGGGGGGGTTGGTGTCAGGAGAACGGGAGGGGGGGGGTTGGTGTCAGGAGAACGGGAGGGGGGGGGTTGGTGTCAGGAGAACGGGAGGGGGGGGGGGGTTGGTGTCAGGAGAACGGGAGGGGGGGGGTTGGTGTTAGGAGAACGAGAGGGGGGGTTGGTGTTAGGAGAACGAGAGGGGGGGTTGGTGTTAGGAGAACGAGGGGGGGGGGGGGGTTGGTGTTAGGAGAACGGGACGGGGGGGTTAGTGTTAGGAGAACGGGAGGGGGGGGGGGTTGGTGTTAGGAGAATGGGAGGGGGGGGGTTAGTGTTAGGATTACAGGGACGGTTGGTGTTAGGATAAGCATTAGAAGCAAGGTGAGTACGGGGCACCTACCTCCCTCCCTCCCTCCCTCCTCGGCCATCACCTCTGTACTGAAGGAAACAAGCACCAGCCTCCCTGCTCTGACAGCAGAAGTATCATAGAATGCAATCCAGTATAATGATCGGAGTAACAAACACACACTTCATGATTAAATAGTACATTTACTTTATAAATTGATAAATCAATCAGGGCGAATGTGGAGAAAGAGAATATAAACGGGGGGGGGGGGGGCTCAAATGAGGGTTCATTGTGAGCTAATGGTGCTATCAGACCAAAGCCGGGCCTCATGTCCTGCGGTCAGGATGACCTGAACATACAGTATACGTGTTGTATGTTCATGTTGTGTGGTCAAGATGTCAGCCCAAAGCAGTCCCTCCTACCACAGAGATGTCACTTGCCTCCTCCTGCTTTAAAGGGGTATTATCCCGCCCGCAAACATGGCTGCCTGCATCTTCCATAGAGAACAGGCACTGGTAGCGCTGGTGCAGTAACTATCTCTACTCTGAAAACTACCATCACTCTGGTCTGCATCCGAAATGGCAGTTGGGCCAGGCATGCTGGGAGATACCTCCTCTACAACTGCAGTGTGCAATACTTTTGCTCTCCTCTGATATTGCCCAGCCTCGGGCCTTACGTACCAAGTGGGCGCCGTTATCCTTGACCCATACTTTATCCAGCCCGGAGCCGAGGATCGCAGAAGTCGGAAGCCAAGAAAGGTTGATGGGATCATGACGAGAACTGCAGAGAAAGCTGCAAAGAAACAGAAATCAGAAGAAAGATGTGATTATTACAGGTCAACAATGCAAACGGTCCATACAGACAAGTCTGGCCGTTGTCACCATTCTAGACACATACATGGGCAGGTGGAGGGAGAGTCTTGATGGCTGGCGAGCACAGCCACGCACTCCAGCTGATGGAAAGAATAAAAGTGGTCCAACGAAAGAAAACCTGCGACAGGATCCTGGGCAGCCAAGGCTCACTGACTGAGGTGGGGGGGGGAGGCTCACCGACTGAGGTGGGGGGGGGAGGCTCACCGGCGGAGGTGGGGGGGGAAGGCTCACCGGCGGAGGTGGGGGGGGAAGGCTCACCGGCGGAGGTGGGGAGGGAAGGCTCACCGGCGGAGGTGGGGAGGGAAGGCTCACCGGCGGAGGTGGGGAGGGAAGGCTCACCGGCGGAGGTGGGGAGGGAAGGCTCACCGGCGGAGGTGGGGAGGGAAGGCTCACCGGCGGAGGTGGGGAGGGAAGGCTCACCGGCGGAGGTGGGGAGGGAAGGCTCACCGGCGGAGGTGGGGAGGGAAGGCTCACCGGCGGAGGTGGGGAGGGAAGGCTCACCGGCGGAGGTGGGGAGGGAAGGCTCACCGGCGGAGGTGGGG